TTGAACCACGGTGCACAATTTTAAAATGATTTTCCTTTTGCTCTGTCAGGGCTCCTTAAATTGTGTCAGTACTTCCCAGTCTTTCAAGAATGTTCTTTATTAGCAGCACTCAGACCATTGTTGAAATCCCAAACCTATTCTTCGGATCATTTTGCCTCTCTCCAATATTAACTTTGGCCTTGTCAGTACCCCTTTCAGCAGTCAGTCAGTCGCAACAGTGTAGCTGCACCAGTGTAAACCCCACGAGTGGACAAGAAAAGCCACCATTTATACTAGTTGAGTTTACCCTCATTTCAGTCCTACTCAGATTTGCACTCCTGCAGCTTTAAGGTTGCTGCCCACTGCCTGCTGAATCCCAAATGTTGTTGTTATAAAGCCTAGGAGCTCCAGTCAGGGCTCAGGACTCCATTGTGCTAGGCACTGTACAAACACTGAAGGAAAAAGACGGTCCCTGTCCCCAAAGTGCTTGCAGTCTAAACCAAGTGTAGTCAAAGCCTTTGTTTGCCCAAGTTTTCAGAGAACCTGGATGTTCTTCGCATGCACAATGATCTGATAATGAATTATATAAAGGTTTTCAATTGGTTCTGAGACTGCATCTCTCAAAACCATTAATGATCTGCTAATATATTTATTGTACCCAGTATTTCTGTTCACCTGACACAGTGACTCATTGCCATCACTAGAGATATTCAAGGCTACACTTGATATCCATCTATAAATCAATGATTGGGTATAAAACAGTCAATCCTGTCACAGCGCAGAAGAAATGGGATAGAGGTTCCTTCTAGCCCAAATGATTCTATGATTAATCTGAGCTTCAGTTATTGATACGTATCATGGGATATGTTTACAGTAAAATGTGAAAAGTTTAAAACACAACTATAATAAAAGGAAAGTGCTATATTCTGAAAGTTCACATGGTTGGTATGAAACATTTCCTATACTGTGGCAGTGCATGTTCTAATACATTTATAAGTGAAGCTTTTCATTATGTTGATGGACATTGGTGAATTTATAGATGGTTAGTAGTCACATCTTGCTGCAAACCAGCATCATTTTTAAGACTTGGACTTCCAGTCATAAGAAATTGTAAACCAATTTCCAACTTTTTTTCTATTATAGAGAAGAAATTCTTAATGGTTAACAGCGGAGGAAAATGGTCAATATAGAGGCAAAGTTTTTCTGTATTAGAGCAAGATGAAAATTTGCTTCTATTGGTAATAATTCATCACCCAAAGCAGTTCTCTCTTCAGTTGTGTTCATTCTGTCTCAAATTAAAGGTACAGCCAAAATAGAGGGCCATTGGAGATGGGAAATAAAAAATTATTTAATCACAGAGACACTTCTGTATGAGGAGAGAGTAGTTTTTTTCCCTTTGTATTTGAAAAGGAGACAAGAGAGGACAATATACTGATAAATACAGCATGATAAATGGTGTGGAGCAGTGGTTCTCAAACTTTTGTACTGGTGACCCCTTTCACATAGCTAGCCTCTGAGTGTGATTCCCCCCTTATAAATTAAAAACACTTTTTAATATATTTAATACTATTATAAATGCTGGAAGCAAAGCAGGGTTTGGGGTAGAGGCTGACAGCTCGCGACCCCCCATGTAGCCTGTTGAACTCATTTCCACAATATATCATTGAGGCCAGATCTTATTGCGCATTGAGGCCAGATCTTGAAGGCTTTAAATCAAGACTGGATAGCTTTCTAAAAGATATACTATAGCTCAAACAGCAAATATGGGCTTGCTCTAGAAATTACTGGATGAGGTTTTATGGCTGCTATGCAGGAGGTCAGTCTACATTATCACAATGGTCCCTTCTGGCCTTAAAATCCGTGTAAAACTATGAGTAATGAGAATATCCACAGTTGTATTAGAATAAAAAAATGCATAAGGGATCTAAACCCTTCTGCTTCGTGGCATAAAACAACCACTGATTGACGGATGGGGGAGAAATTTTCCCTATTGGCAGGTTACTCCATAATTGTCTACTGTGTAATTACTTGCATCTTCCTCTGAAATATCTGCTTCTGACTGTTTTCAGAGACAGGGAACTGGACTAGATGGGCCAGTGAGCTGATCCAGTGTAGAAATTCCAAAGCTCCAGCCTAGGGGCAGAACAGCATTTTATTCAACCACAAAGTCATAGGAAATACGTTTTTCTGGTTGGGTTTTTGTTTGTTTTTTTCCCATTCTCTTATTTTCTGATGCATCATTTAATATTTGTCATTTTTACTTTGTAAGTACATTCCCAGATTGAGAATAAATTCAATTTGTCCACTGGTTCTTGGCAACCTCAATGTACTGGATAAATTGCATACATATGAGTTGTTATTAGATAAAAAATGGAGGGATGAGGTTTGCAAATATCCTAATAGCCTAGCAATAAGCTATCCTTTTCAGACACAGATAGTGTAACATTTGTTCACAACTGTGTTACTGCTAGAATGGATTATTGCCCCTCTTTGGGGCTATAAAATCTAAATAAAGTAACAATCTGATAGTGTTGGCGCTTAGAGTTCCAAACTACATTCTGTAATGATCATCGCTAGTTTACAGCCTTGTTACATCAGTCACTTTGAGGAGGGTAGGTTTAGGTCTTATACTATGCCCACTATTTTTTTTGTGGCTTAGTAGAGCACTGGACTTGGACTCAGGCAAACTGGGTTCTGTTCCCAGATCTGCTACTGTCCTGATGGATGATCTTTGGCAAGTCATTTCACCTCCCTGTGCCTCGGTTTCCCCATCAGTCAAATGAGGCTAACGATACTGACTTCCTTTATAAAACGCTTTGAGATCTATTGATGAAAACTGCTACAAAAGAGCTATTTGCCATCTTCCATAGCAGCTCATCAGTTTTTAAAATTAGGTTCAAGTTTCTCATTAGGTAAAGGACTTGTACTATAACTTCATGAGTCTATTTGCTGTTGTCTCAATAACAACAAACCATTTGCATTTCAGAAGACCTTTAAATATCTAACAAGACCTAAAGTACTTTATTGAATATATACCAGGGGTTGGCAACCTATGGCACGCGTGCCAAAGACGGCAGGCAGCAGCGTGCTATTAAAAATCCTGCCCAGCCCGCTCTTCTCCACCCTCCGCCCCCCCTCCCTCCCGCGGGGGCAGGGGGCAGAAGCTTGGTCCTGCCAGCTCCCCTGCCTCTTCCCGCAATGTGCTGGGTTCCTGCCCCTCCTCCTCCTCTCCGTCCCTCCCTCTCTGCCGGACGATCAGCTGATGGCCCTTGCGAGGGAGGGGATGGGGGAGGAGTGAAGTCAGGGTGCTTGCTGCTCCCGGCAGAGGCAGAGAAGAAGTGGGGGCAGGGCCTTGGGGAAGGGGGGGTGGAATAGGGGCATATCCCCTCCAGCCCCCTGCTGTGAGCACCCCACGACCCCAGCCCACACCCCCAGCCCTCTGTCCTGAGCCCTGCACCCCGCACACACCCCAGACCCCTGCCCTGAGCCCTGACCTCCCACACGCACACCCAGCCCTCTGCCCTGAACCCCCTTCACTCACACACACCCAGCCCTGAGCCCTGCAGCCCCGCACACACCCCAGACCCCTGCCCTGAGCCCTGTACTCCCCTCACACACACCCAGCCCTCTGCTTGACTCCTTCACCCCACCCACAACCCCAGCCCTGACTCTGGCACCCCCACACATACCCAGTCCCCCCACACCCTGTGCACCACCCCACATCTCCACCCCACCCTGAGCAAATGGGAGCTCCTGCACTCCCCCCCACACACACACATTCCCACCTGCACCCCTTGCACCAAATGGGAGTTGCCCAGGTAAGCAGTCCACACCCAAATCTCCTGCCCCAACTCTGAGTCCCCTCCCTCATTCTAGCTCCTGGCCAGACCCTACATCCCAACTCCCAGCCTGCTCCTTCACCCCCAGCCCTGTGCTCAGTGCACTCCCACCCTCAGCTCAGTGCAGAGAGAGAGGAAGAGAATGGGCCAGAACCAGGGAGAAGGTAGGTACCCACTGTATATGGGCAGGACCAGGACCCCAGACTGGCAGCAGGCTGAGCGGGTCCGGCAGCTGGGATCCCAGCCAGCAGGAGCCAGTGGATGGAACCCCTGAGCGGCAGCGGGCTAAGCCGCTCAGCCCACTGCCGGTCTGGGGTCCCGGCCGCCAGCCCCGCATAGCCCGCTGCTGGTCTGGGGTTCTGGCTGCTGGACCCTTGCCAGCCAGGGTCCCGGCCGCAGGCCCCGCTCAGCCCGCTGCTGACCTAGGTCAGCAGAACCCCAGACCAGCAGCGGGCTGAGTGGGCCAGCAGCGTAAGGTCAACATTTTAATTTAATTTTAAATTAAGCTTCTTAAACATTTTGAAAACCTTGTTTATTTTACAATACAACAATAGTTTAGTTATATAATATATAGACTTATAGAGAGAGACCTTTTAAAAACATTAAAATGCATTACCGGCACATGAAACCTTAAATTAAAGTGAATAAATGAAGACTCGGCACACCACTTCTGAAAGGTTGCCAACCCCTGATATATACACTATATGAGTCATTTTGCCCAACATGGAGATGCAGCTGTCTCTGGGGTAGGAAAACATCAGTTATTTAACAGGACCAGGAGCACCGTACAACAGCATATTGAAGAATAACTTATCCATTTGAAATCATGGGGGAAAGTTAGAATGTAATTACCTACTTTGGAAAAGCAGCACTGTCAAAGGTATGCAGATGTTGTATCTGAACTTAACTGGGCAGTGCTGCTGTTCTAACTTTTTGGTGTCTCTGAAAAGCCCTCCAAAAAGACATGGACTGCTGGCAGAGTTGGCATTCATAAAACTTAGCTGAAGACTTGCTTATTTAAACTGGCTTTTTAACACCAAATTATTTATGTGGTTATCAGCAAATGGCATTTTGGGTTATTATTTACAGAAAGACGCCCATTGGGATATGTTTGGAGGGTGGGTGTAAGTGGAGATGGTAAACCAGAGAACAGGAAATAAATCAGATGTCGTCTTTTTCTAGTTGGCTCGCCACAATAAAACATTGCAGCAGATGCTGAAGCCAGGGTCTGATCCAGATGAAGGAGATGAAGCCTTGAAGTACTATGCCAATCACACAGCACAAATTGAGGTAAAGAATTGCTCACCAAAAGGGAAACTATTGTGGTCTGAGGCCAGTTTGCTTCCTACTAGAGCTTCTCATTTCGATTTCTCGTGAAGAACAAAACATATTTAAATAGGGTAGCTTATTTTGAAAGGGAAAAAGCTGAGTAATATACTGGGGAAGGGAAAAAAGGCCTGGATATTCTTTAAAATTGGCTTGGTGTATTTCAAACAATTGTCCTACTGTTGCTCCCCTGTGGGATACGGAATATTTTTTGTTATGGAAATGATGACTGGGGATAGCAGCAGTGTCTTAGAGACAAGAATAGTAGCACGTCAGTCACATAAACCCTGCTTTTCAAGCTAAGGAGGCTTATGGATCAAATGAGAATTTTGGCTGTGGTTAAAAAGAAGTTTTTGAAATGGTGTGAAGATTCCGTGCAGTTTTTGCCTAACAGGATGAGGTGGGTCTGGTTCATCAGCTCCTTTCCGTATTGTGAACAGCATTCACCTGTTGGATGGAAAAATATTTCATGACTTTGGCGGTAGTAGAAAGTGTAGAGTTCAAGGGTGGCAGTTTTAAGGGGACGTGCCTGCAAGGTGTGCAGGGCTGTTATTTGGAAACTATGACAATCTAGTTGATTAAGGGTGAGTAATTGCACGTAGACTCTCATGTCAAACCACATCCTTCTTGGGGTCTGGTTTATTAAAAGAAAATCACAGTTCAATGTCATCTTAAATGAAAGCCATACATTCCCCATTCTTCAAAGTTCTGTCAGCTCCTGCTGGGCTCACTAGCTCCTTCCCAAACCCAGTTTTTGCTCCTGGCATTTCCTAAAGCCTCTTCCTCTTCAGGCCTCTGCTCCTTGTGGCAGGAGGCATCAGCCAAGCCTATGGAGAGCCCCTTCACAAATCCTCTCTCACCGTGGGTCTCATGCAGGTGTCTCACTGTGGAGCATCACGCTCACAACCCTCCTGCTCCTCTGGTTCTCTTTCCTGACTGTACTTAGGCTGCCCTTATATCCCCCCAGCTGGCCTAATTGCTAGTCATAGGCCCCCATCACATGACCCTGGGACTGAGAGGTACAGGTGAGGTGTCACCCAGGACTCCCTTAAAGGGTCAGCTCACCCATGAACAGTACTACATTCATTATGTGTCAATACACACACACACACAGAGAGTTTTGCTATCCTTGAGGTGAACATACATAAAAATATTGCTCTTAAATATCAAACCATTTCAGAAGGGAGAGATGAGGCAATTTTTTGCAAAACAGCCACAGCGTTGGGTGCTTCCTGAAAGTGAGGATGTAAATGACTCTGAGCCCAACACTGCTTCTGTTGAAATAAGAGAGTGGTTTTCCAGAGCTGGGCCAATTGTGGAGTTCCGAATGTATATTCTCTCGGCTCAGCATACCCAGTTTGTTCAATTTGTAAGTCAAATGATGATTCTGGGATAGCGAGCTCTACAAAAAACCTGGGATCTGAGATCCAATGTGTGTTTTCCGCCTATTACTACTTCACCAGTAATACAGGCTCCAGTCAGATTCAGCAAATAGTTTTAATGGAATGGAATCCAGCTCACTCTCAAGTAGCTCTGTTGATTCTGAAGAGCTAATAGTAGCAATATCTTGGGTTTTGTCAAGTAAGCAGATAAAGGCAGGTAGGAACTGGCACTATCTGAGTAACAAGGTGCTCCTTTCGCATAGCCCCTTTCATGATTTACAACCTCATAGAGATGGGCTCAAGCTACAAAATTGAGTTCTTGATCCAAATGCTAAGCTCTTTAAAGTCTGGGAAAGTTTGGATGTTGAGTTTCGCTTTAGCTTATTATAAATATGGGGGCAGTTTGTAGGGCTCAGATTTGGAACGTCCTCAAAGATTGGGGATACTTGGATCTAGATTTTTTTATTTGAGGCACACCTGTATGACCTCATTTTAAGGCAGGTTTTTGAAGGCAAAGACAATTTTAATATAAATTACTTAGGTAAGTGTTTTTTAATATAGTGTGTTGGTGTAATTGAAATTTTTAAAATTAGTTCGACACCAGTTTGTAAATAAAAGCAAGCTCTGAGTCAGAAGGGAATCACAGCATGATTGAGAAGTCTCTGACCCTGAAAGACACACAGAATAGAATCATAGAATATCAGGGTTGGAAGGGACCTCAGGAGGTCATCTAGTCCAACCCCCTGCTCAAAGCAGGACCAATTCCCAACTAAATCATCCCATCCAGGGCTTTATCAAGCCTAACCTTAAAAACCTCTAAGGAAGGAGATTCCACCACCTCCCTAAGTAACCCATTCCAGTGCTTCACCACCCTCCTAGTGAAAAAGTTATTCCTAATATCCAACCTAAACCTCTCCCACTGCAACTTGAGACCATTACTCCTTGTTCTGTCATCAGGTACCACTGAGAACAGTCTAGATCCATCCTCTTTGGAACCCCCTTTCAGGTAATTGAAAGCAGCTATCAAATCCCCCCTCATTCTTCTCTTCTTCGGACTAAACAATCCCAGTTCCCTCAGCCTCTCCTCATAAGTCATGTGCTCCAGCTCCCTAATCATTTTTGTTGCCCTCCGCTGGACTCTTTCCAATTTTTCCACATCTTTCTTGTTGTGTGGGGCCCAAAACTGGACACAGTACTCCAGATGAGGCCTCACCAATGTCGAATAGAGAGGAATGATCACGGCCCTCGATCTGCTGGCAATGCCCCTACTTATACAGCCCAAAATGCCGTTCGCCTTCTTGGCAACAAGGGCACACTGTTGACTCATATCCGGCTTCTTGTCCACTCTAACCCCTAGACCCTTTTCTGCAGAACTGCTTCCTAGCCATTCGGTCCCTAGTCTGTAACAGTGAATGGGATTCTTCCGTCCTAAGTGCAGGACTCTGCACTTGTCCTTGTTGAATCTCATCAGGTTTCTTTTGACCCAATCCTCTAATCTGTCACATACATTTGTATTTACAGATTGTCCGTCATGATAGAACCATGGAACAAATAGTCTTCCCTGTCCCCAATATCTGTGAATTCCTCACTCGAGAATCCAAAAGTCGTGTATTTAATACAACTGAGAGAGATGAACAAGGGAGCAAAGTGAATGACTTTTTCCAACAGACAGAAGATCTGTACAATGAAATGAAGTGGCAGAAGAAAATTAGGAGTAAGTACTATCTATAGTTTCAAGGACTTTGTTTTAGGTTGTCTAATTGTATTTAAAAGCTGTAAGTCACCAAGCAAGTATTTTACGTTTTCATTTTTACTTGTTTCCAATCCCTTTGATATTACAAGAAAACATTTTCCGCACCCAAGATTTCAAGTCCCTGGAGATGTGCCACCTGCGAGAGAGAGAGATACATACACAAAGAAGAAATAATATGGAAAAGTGACTAATAAAATCATCTCTGGGCTCTCGAGACCAGAATTGAGTGGTGAAAACAGTAGAGTTGCACCCAATTATGCCAGATGGAATTTTGGCCCCTAATGTTTAACAAGAACATGTGTAGCTGTATACTTATACTTTTGAATATAATTCACTGAAAACATCTTTCACCTTGGACCAGATCCTCAGCTGGTGTAAAACAATGTGGCTCCCATGAAGTTAGTGGAGCCCTGCCAGTTTTTATACCAGACCTCTTTGCACTGAGTCATTATTTACTATTCCTGGCGAATGTTTTCTTAGTAATAGTACTTTGCACCCAGCATCTTTTAAAGCAATTTACAGAAATCCAGCTGGATTAATTCCCAGCAGAACCCAGTCTGTGACTCCTTGGCCAAGGGGACATACCTACTCAAACTGTTTACAGCTCCCATTCCACTGGAGGGCACAGCTCCAGCTGGCATAGGCAAGGAAGTGGGTGGCGCTAGTTTCAGAAGGGACATGGCTAGAACACAAAGGGTAAGCTGGCTGGTTCCATTGGTGTGTCTCCCAGAAACCCCGCACTGGAACTTAGAGCTACTCCACCAGGATGGAATTCATAGGGGAGGCAGAAGTGGTGCTACCATCTGACCTCCCGTAGGAGTGAAGTTGCTTCTAGCATCTCAGGAGGTGGCAGATGGCAGCCCTGTGCACCTTCCAGGGTAAATCCAGTCTTTTCACCAACTCCTGATAAGGAAGTGGGATATAGCTATAGATATCTAAGGATCTCTTCACCCACCATTAAAATGCAGATGCCTCAGAGGTAGAATACAGTAGCTCTTGAACAATTCACAGCAACATTACACAACTGATTAGGAAGGAAGTGAAGAATACCAGATATGGGCAGAACTGCAGGAGGATTTGGCTCGCCAGAGTGGAATGAATTAACTTGAAGCTTTTACCACCGCTAAAAACATGACGTTGGGTTGTAGTTTTTGTGAATTTAATTCTCAGGGTGTAGTTTCTATTTCAAAATAATTTTGCTCACAAAGTAGGACTAGGATCCCAGTTAAAAGAAACACCAACGAACAAACAAAAGCCCCTACCCACTGTCTGAGAGAGTGCAGACTTGGATTAGACCTCTGTAATGCTAAGCAAGCATAAATTAGGGGGTTTTTTTATCCAAAAGAGAAATTCCCACATTTCCTTTCATCTGTGGAATATTTAACAAGCCTTCCTATTATTTTGTTTGAAAATGCAATATACATGCAAGTGCTATTTAATCTTTACCCCAGTGTCTGAGTTGCTATGTTATCGTACAATGCTGCATTGCTCGAAAGGAGAGGATGCCTCATGCAAAGGCTCCAGATCCTTAAAACCCAGAAGTTAACAGCCTAATTTTACCACAAGTGAAATCTTAATGTTTAGTCTGAGCTGACTCTAATTGTGGGTAATTAAAGCCAACCTTACTCTGAGACAAAAAGATCCAGTTTGAGGAGTTGTCTGTTTCTAGGAGTCAGCTATGTTCTTAGTCACTTTCAATAGTATGATAGCAAGTGAAACCCAACAGCTGGCGGAAAGGTCCAGGAAGGTCAAGGGTGCCTTTCTCATGCGCACAGGAAATTCAGAGCACTCTAGGAGTCTTTTTATAATTTCCTGAAAAATACATAATCTTCAAATAGTTAAATGTCACATGTTTTAGAGATTTTTAAATACCATATATTAAGATATACTTCAAAAAGGTTAATTCCAACCAGTACCGGATTTACCATGGCGCCAGGCCCACAGTCCAAAGGGGCCCCGGCCCAGCCCACTCTTCTCTGCCCTCTTCCCCCTGCTCTCTCCTGTGGGGGCAGAAGCTTTATGCTGCCGGCTCGTGCTGCGGCAGGGCAGGCTCTGCCCGGCCTCTTCCCTGGAGGGTGCTACGTTCCTTCCCCTCCCCCTCTCCCTGCCGCTGATCAGCTGTTTGCAGGCAGGAGGGAGGGGGAAGAGCGGAGCCTCAGCACGCTTGCCGCTCAGGGGAGGAGGAGGAGAAGAGGCGGGGAAGGGGCTGGAATCGGGGCATACCCCCTCCAGCCCTCTGCCATGAGCACCCCCATGACCCCAGCCTTCTGCCCACCCTGACCCCTGCACTGCCCACACTCCCCCAGCTCCCTGCCCTGACTCCTGCACCCGCTCACACCTCCCCAGCCCCCTGCCCTGCACCCCCCACACATACCCAGCCCCCCCCCATCCTCACCCCACCCTGAGCACCAAACAGGAGCTCCTGCACACACACACCCATTCCCACCTGCACCCTTCGCACCAAACAGGAGCTGCCCCAGGTAAGCGCTCCAGACCCCAACCTCCTGCCCGAGCCCTGAGCCCCCTCCATCACCCTAGCTCCTGGCCAGACCCCTCACCCCAATGTTTTTTTACAATTTTTTTTTTATAAAGCACTCTTATCCAAAGCGCTTTACAATAGTTAGCTAATGGTACGAACAATATTTGGAAAGATCATTAAGTGGTCCGTCGAGACCCTCCGCGATTTTCAAGTGGTCTGTGGAAAAATAAGTTAGACTCTAGGACAATCTAGGTACCTCACTTTATTTTCATTTACTTGATTACTTATCGGAGGAGGATAAAGAAAAAAAGAATTAAAAAACAGGGGCGGGGGGAGATAAGGGAGAATGTTCTTTTTCTTGGCTGGGTCCCAAGGAGGGGCCCCAAAAATGAAGCTGAGCACTGGGCCGGGGCCCCACCAACTCTAAATCCACCACTGGCTGTCACGTCACCTGGGCTGGGGATACTGTGTCAGCTGATCCCCACAGTCTCCAACCTACCTGGGCAGTACAGCAGACATGGCCCTGCCCACTAGCTCCTCTCCACTCCTTAGCCCACCCACCACTTGCTTTCTCCTCTCCCACCCCCCGGCTTAAAAAAGATTGCTTTCCACCTCCACCACCACCACCACCACTCAGGCTTTTCTGGCAGCCCTGTTGCCAGGTATCCAGTTTTAGACTGGAAACTCCAGTAGAAAACGGGAACTGAGTGTCCGGTTAGCAGTGCTGACTGGAAACTAAAAGTCCAGTTATAGGAGTAACCACATTAGCCTCCGCTCCTCCCACCCCAGAGGCCTGGAAGAGAACCTGTCCTGCTGCTGTGGGAGGAGGGGCAGCTTAGTGCAGAGAGAGACTAAGAGAATGGGCTAGAACCAGGTAGGTACCTGCTCTATGTAGGCAGGGGTGGGGGGAGATCCTATTTACCCCCTCCCCAGCCCTGCTGTACTTGCAGTTTACCCCTGGCCCCTTTGCTCCAGGGACCAACCCTAACTCCTGCCCCACTGTGCTTTTGCCCCCAGCCCTTTTTACAATCATTCTCCAAGGGGGCCCACAAATATGTTTGGCGCCGGGCCCACAAAAAGTTAATCCAGCCCTGATTCCAACACTCACCTTGTGGAGTCCTAGAGCTCAAGCCTGAGCCCGAATATCTACATCGCAATTAAACAGCCCCTTAGCCGGAGCCCTGTAAGCCTGAGTCTGCTGGTACTGGCCAGCAGCAGGTGTTTAATTGCAGTGTAGACATGCTCTAACTGTGTTTGTACAGCCCTGTAGCACAGTGGAGCCTTGGCTTCAGATAGGCCCTCTAGGCGCTATTACCAAAATACAGTAACTCCTCACTTAGTCATCCTGGTTAACGTTGTTTTGTTGCTGATCAATTAGGGAACATCCTTGCTTAAAGTTGCGCAATGCTCCCTTACAGTGTTGTTTGGCAGCCACCTGCTTTGTCCACTGCTTGCAGAAAGAGCAGCCCGTTGCAGCTAGCTGATGGGGGCTTGGAACCAGGGTGGACTGGCAGCCCCCCTATCAGCTCCCCGCTCCCCTAAGTCCGCCCAGCAGGCTATCAATTGCCGGCAGTTCAGCTGTCCTTCCCACCACTGCCATGTGCTGCTCCTTCCCTCTGCCTTGGAGCTGTTTTTGGGAGTCTCCTGCTTGCTGTGCAAGGTTGGGGGTGGGGGGAAAGAGGGGTGCTAATGTCAGGGTGTCCCCCCCCCTTTCTGGCCCCCTGCTATTTTACCCCACAGAGAAGTGGGGGACACGACAGGGCTCAGGACGGAGGCAGCTTGCTGGCAGCAGCTGCTATCTCAACTTGATGGTCTACTTAAAAAGGCAGTGTACTTAGTGGCTCAGCGTACTTAAAGGGACAATGCGCCACACTCACACTCTCACTCACATTCTCTCTCTCTCTCTCTCTCTGTCTCCATTCGTGCTGCCTTGTAGAGTGTGAGGCTACATTACCAACAATGTATTCACCCTTGAGGGCTCAGCCGACTGCTACTTCATCATTTGGCAGCAAGGCATTCCCTGGGAAATATCCCTCCCTCTCCCACCCTCTAACTTCACCACCTCAACCAAGCTTCACAATCATCATAGCTATGACCAGTATTAAATTGTTTGTTTAAAACTTCTAGTGTGTGTGTGTGTGTGTGTCTGTCTATCTATCTATCTATCTATCTATCTATCTATCTATCTATCTATCTATCTATCTATAATCTTTTGTCTGGCAAAACAAATTTCCCTGGAACCTAACATCCCCCCTCCCTCCCCAAATTACACTAATTCTTATGGGGAAATTGGATTTGCTTAACATCATTTCGCTTAAAGTAGCATTTTTCAGGAACATAACTACAGCGTTAAGCAAGGAGTTACTGTAGAACAGATCTATTTAGTTAGGAGGGAGGACTTAGAAGCCTGAGCACTGCATGTAAAATACTAAGGCTACATCTTCACCACGGGGGGGGGGTCGATTTAAGATACGCAAATTCAGCTACGTGAATAGCGTAGCTGAATGGGACGTATCGCAGCCGACTTACCCCGCTGTG